AACCAGCATCGTAGAAATCTTTAGCAGAAAAGCCTGCATCTTTGCACATCTCGGCTGAATAGCCTGCATCTTTACATTCCTTTGCTGTGAAACCTGCATCGCTACATTGCCTTGCTGAAAAGCCGTCTTCTTTGAACTCTTCTGCACTGAAGCCGGCTTCCTTACAACTTCTGGATGGGAACGTTGAGGATATGCATTCCTTTGGTGTGAAGCCCGCACTTCTGTAATCGCTAGCAGTCAAGTCAAGTTCCCAACCTTCTAGAGAGAAACCTGCTCTTTTGACCTCGTTCTTCTCAAAGCACACCATCCTGCATTGAATGGTTGAAAACCCAGCATCCTTGAAATCTTTAGCAGAAAAGCCAGCATCTTTGCACGACTTGGCTGAATAGCCTGCATCTTTGCATTCTTTTGCTGTGAAGCCAGCATCTTTGCATGCTTTTGCTGTGAAGCACCCAAGCTTCTTGCATTGAAGAGCTGTGAAGCCCTCACTTCTGTAATCGCTAGCAGTCAAATCAAGTTCCCAACCTTCTAGAGAGAAGCGTGCCTCATAGACCACGGCCTTCTCAAAGCCCAGTATCCTGCATTGAATGGTTGAAAAACCAGCATCGTAGAAATCTTTAGCAGAAAAGCCTGCATCTTTGCACCTCTCGGCTGAATAGCCTGCATCTTTACATTCCTTTGCTGTGAAACCTGCATCGCTACATTGCCTTGCTGAAAAACCGTCTTCTTGTAACTCTTTTGCACTGAAGCCGGCTTCGGCTAACAAAAAGCCGGCCTCTTCGCATTCTTTTGCAGTGAACCCTGCATCTTTGCATTCTTTTGCTGTGAAACCAGCATCTTTGCATTTTTTTGCTGTGAAGCACCCAAACTTCTTGCACTGAAGAGCTGTGAAGCCAACTACTCTACAATCTCCTCTCATGTATCCGGCTTTGGACAACTTTTCTGCCATCTCTCCGGAAGCGTCCTTCTCCAAATAACTGGCAGCAACATGGTTTTCGAACTCCTCAAGCGTCTCTGGCTTGCGTTCAAGTTCCTGCAGCCATGTCTGTTGCAGTTCTCGTATTGGTTGGAAAAGGTCAGCATCTGAAACATTGAGACCCTTCAATAAGTTCACAGAAGGCTCCTTGAGAAGACCTTGCAACTCTTTCGGCAAACTTCCACGTGTGAGCACCTGAGAACTCTGATCAAGGTTCAGTCGTTTCACACAGGCTTTCAGTCCCTGGGAAGAGACGAGGGCCTCTAGTTTTTCCTGGACTGCGAGCTTACGCTGCTCAAACATGGCACGTTGGAGAACAGGAATCAGGAATCCTTTGGAGAAGCTGATGGCAGCAGAAATGCCCGCAAATCCAATTCCTTCAGCGTTCTTCAATACGATCACCAATCCCAAGATCCCTTGGGGCCAATCTTCTGCCCATGCGATTAGCAATCGAGAACTGCTGAGGAAGTCGACGCAAACATTGGAAAGTTGTCTTTGAAGCCACTCCCACCAAGTTTCACCTGCAATGCTGAGCGGCTTTAAAGGCAACTCCAAAATGGCCTTGTATGTCTTGCGAAGATCTTTTGCACATTCTTCGTGATAGTTGACCTGGATGTAGGAGGCAACGATGACATACATGGAGAAAACAGCCAAGATCCCACCATCCAGCAGCAATGGCGTCGATATCTTGGAAAGGACAAGACACCATGGCAGCATCAACATGCATGAGTAGAGGTGGCGGTTTTCACGGATGCTGTCAGGCAGGCAAGGCAACGCAGGGAACAGAACCCAAAGATGGACGCCTAGGAAGAGCGGAGCAAAATAGATCGCCTGAGGGCTTAATGAGTTCAGAGCGAAACTTGGCCGAACAAAACAACGGTGACTTTAGCCAGGTTCACAAGTGTCCGTATTCAAAAAGTTTGAACATAGTGAGACGACAGCGGATGACCGGGACACCCACTCGAGCACCAAGGGCACAAATCGAGAAGTGTAACTTTTTCTAACATTCAGGCACAAGCCGAGAAAAGCATCGCGCTTCGCATGGTAGCGGAGCGTTGCCGCATCCGCATAGAGCCCGCTACATTGCCCACGCCATAGGCACCACTCGTTGCAGCAGACCGCGGACTTCACGTGGGGCGCAACCCATTTCTTTCTGGCTGGTCGAGCTCCTCTTCCTGAGTTGTCTTGCTGGAGGAGCTGGTGACCCTTGGACACAGGAGATTTGCCACTATCAACCACCAAGAGTTGTAGCCCAACACAGCAGGTGCGAAGGTACAGTGGGCAAGAAGCACCACAGCCATGAGGGCATCACTGTTGGTGCGAAAGAAGCTCAAGAAGAATAAGAAAAGATCCAGGGAGAGAAAGCAGCTGGTTGCGATCGTCCCAGCCAAGTGGACGCTATTGAAGAGAGTGGAAAGATTGAGGGACACAGCAAACAAGGCCAATTGGGACTTCAAGAAGCTTTTGAGCTACACAAACCTCGAGATCAAGGAGGAGCAGGACAACGAGCTCAGTTTGACCACCAGGACGTATTACCCCAGTGTGGCCTACATTCATGAGGAGAGCTTGAAGCAGATCTCTCAAGCCCTTGAGAAGTTGAGTGTCATCCAAACTTCAAACTCTTGGGCCAGACACCTGGAGACTCTGGATATCTTCAAACCAAACACAACGGACAAGGAATTGAAGCAATGGAGCGATTGGAAATTTTCCTATGAGAACTATGTCAAGGGGATCGATGCAGGTATGGCCCACAGCATGAAGCTGGTTGAGGAGAACCTGATGGCAGCTATGAGCTTGACGAGATGACCGATGAGACCAAAGCTGCATCCATACGCCTCTACAGCCTGCTGATTGAGGAACCCTTGAAACTGGTGCGCCACATGAAGCAGGAGAATGGGATTGAAGCCTGGCAGCGGCCACCGACTCGGCGCTGAGCTGTCGCGGGTCCAAGGCAAGTCCATTTCAAAGCAATTGCCCTTGTATGAGTCCATTGTGACTGCGCATGAGCAGATTTCTGGACACACCTATGCTGATGACAACAAGGTGGCATCCATATTGCAGGCAGTCCCAGCGCATCTTCGCTCACATCTTCAGCTATGGAGCGCAAATACCACGACCTATGAGCAGCTGAAGGAAAAGGCGACGGAGCTGGAGGCACTTGCGACAAAGTGGGATAGCTCAAATTCCTTGAGCTTGCCCACACGGATGTCAATGGACGAAGCCACTCCTATGGAAGTTGACAATGTACGAGACAAATGGAAGAAGGGTGGCAACAGCAAATCCAAAGACAGCAAAGGCCAAGCGAAAGGAAAGGAGAAGGGCAAATCGAAGACCGATGGAGGAAGAGGGTCGTGGAAGACAAGTGAAAAAGGTAAAAGCCAGTGGGAGAAAGGTGGACAAGGCAAGAAGGGAAAACTCCAAAGAAAGGGGAAACTCTCAAACAGAATGTCACCTGCCACAACTGCGGCAAGATGGGACACTATGCTCGTGACTGCTAGAAGCGGGTCTCGTTCATTGAGGAAACAGGTGGTGGTGGCGGCGCTTCGTCATCATCAACTGGACGCACAGGACCAGCACCTTCAGCACCGACTACGGCATCAGTGAAGATGTTTCGAATGGCACGCGCAACCTGGAGATCTTGAACCTCACAGGTTCAAAATCAGAGGACAATGAATATCCTTGGCGTGTTGGAACGATCAGGGCTACATGGATGAGGACGAGTTCATGGACTGCATCGAGCCCGTGGTGGGCATCCCAGAGGGCATCATGTTGAAAGGACGAGACATCTCAGCTCCCATCAGCAATGAACGAAATTCTTTGCAGTTCAGTGCAAGAATCTCTATGGCGGAGATGACAATGAAGAAAGAAGGAGAAACAAAGGATGACACTGCAAGGTTGCTAGCTCTTCGTGGCAGCTTCAGCAGTACGTGAAAGATCTGGAGACAGCGCCTGTTTGGCGCCAACTGCCAAATGGGATGGTGGCACTGATTGTGGCCTACAGTGATCCAGTGGCCACGAACTTGACTGACCCTCGAGGACAGATTGAGGAGACTTGGAAGGCCCGTATGCCACTAGTCAAGGACAATGATGGGCTATGGACACAGATTGAGAATGTCAAGGACTTCACGGAGTTAGGTCCAGCTGCATTCAGGAAGGTTGGCGTGGGAGGACCTCAACATACAATCACCTTCTTTGCGCCCTCTATGATGGAGGATTGCT